AAAAATCCTTTGTATCCTTTTATGGTAAAGGTGGTATTTGGTCGTAAATTTGTTTCTTGGAAACAGAGGGCGGTTGGTTGGAGGGCTTTTAATCGGTGAATATCGATATTGTGTTTGGCTAAGCCGTTTATATTCCATTGAATGATATTATCCATGGTAAGCGATAACAGAAAATATATAGTTAAGGTTTGTGTGATTTTTTCGTTTTGTTTTATTGGGCGTATTCAGATTTGGATTAAACTTTATTTGAGAGGTTGGGTTTGAAAAAGTAGATTTGAAAGTTTTGTTAGTCGTAATTTCAGTAATTTGACTTTTATGTTTGGACGAATTTTTTCGATTATGTCCATTACGGTTGGTATATCTGAGTTTGTGTTTTCAATCAGTGCGTGGATATTTATTGCTTTGTTGTTGAAATTGTCCAGGATGTATTTAAATTGTATGTAAGTGATTGGTGAGGAGCCATTTGTGGTGAAGTATTCGATAATAGGTTTTAAATTTTCGTCCAAGTTTGTATCCAGACTGCTAGAAGAATTTGATCGGGATTGTATTTTAGGTTTCTTGATAGTTTTTTCATTTTTAGTGTTAATGGATGAAGATAATAATATATTTGGGGAGTCAAGGAGTTTAGTTGACGATGAATCTCACATCAGTCTTTTATGTGTTTCATTGGGGGTATGTGACAGCAGTGTATCATTGGGATGATTTAGGGTTGAAGAAAAAAATTTGTTTTCTTCAGTGTCTTCGGTCCAATCAGTTTCGGTTTTTTCAAAAGGTATATCAAGCTGTGGGCTTGTGGGAGGGGGTGTATTTTCCATTAATTCGGTATGGTTTATAGGCGGGTCTTCGTGTTTGTTTAATTTGTTTGGACTAGATGGTATGGGCATATTTTTTGATTTATCATCAACGTTATTTTTGCAATTGTTTGTAGTATGGCCAGTAGCTTTGCATAAAAAACAAGTAATTTTATCGTCAGTGAAAAAGATTCTAAATTGTGACTCATTTTGTGTAATTAATAACGAGTTTGGGAGTTTGGGAATGTCTTCGTGTTTGAGGTATATTTGTCTACGGAAACTCATTATATACTCGTACCCTTCAATATTGATTCCAGCTTTGAGGTGGTTAATTTGAAATATGGGCAATATATCTTTGTTTTTTAGGGCGTCGGTAATTGCTTGGTTGGGTATAGAAGGGCATACGTTGGATATAATGAATCTTTTGGCCGGGTTTAATAATCTGCGTATTGGTATATTTTGGTCGTTGATATTTATTGATTGTGTTGTTTGCATTAAATTATCAAGTATTTGTTTACTGGACAAGAAGACACAGAAGCGGATGTTTTAAATTCTAGAAATAAATGTAATATTTTTTGGGGAGACAATTTTTCCAATTACAAGTATGTACTCTTTTTGAGGTATACCATCAATTGAATTGAAGACTAAGGCTTGTTCGCGGCTAGGCGTCTTTTCCATAGCGACAGCAGATGCGAAATTTATACTATTGTTCGTAGTATTTAATGAGGAGTTTATCGGTTGGTCATTAGTGGATGTATTTATATTTATGTGAGGGACGATAGTGTCTGCGGTGAGCGTGTTATCGCTGGACGGTGTGGTTAGAGTGGTGGGTAGAGGAGAAGTCTTGATTGCGATGCGTGTAGTATGATTAGTCGTTGAGGTGGTGGGGCAGCGAGTATTACGGTCGGTGCCTGTCACTACTATGTTTTTGTTTGATTGAAGAGACGACGTAGTATTATATGAAGATTTATAAGATGATGTTGAATTAGTAGATGGTGAGGAAACATTTTTGGTTATGAGTGTGGGGTAAGAAATATTAGAAGTAGATGTATTTGAACGATTATGTGTGGGATTTTTAGGCGAAATGCCCGTTGGATTTCTATTCATGGCGAAGATATGGGCAGATAGGCTAAGTATTAATTAAAGCATATTACCTTTCCAAATGTCGACGTGATTATTGTGCTATCGAAAAGCTATAAAACGTACAATGCGATAAGCACACGTGTTGCACGGTCGGCTGTTAAACACGAACTGTGGGTCCCTCTTTTATATGGATTGATTGACGTCATTGGACTTGTTGTTTCGGCATTTATTCCTTATTTAGCAATAGGCCATTGTTCGTTTGACCTGCTTCATTAATCTGTAGATTACATATTTTAATGTATATCACTGGTTTATGTCCAATTAATTAAATGTAGTTTAAATGTGTTTCTAGAAATATAGATTACATATTTTAATATATATTACTAGTTTAACTTAATCAAATATAGGTGTGCAATACCTGTGATATTGTGTTACGCACAATTCTATTTATACATGTTTCTAGAAATATGTGATAGCCCACAACATCACTGTAGTGTACAAATGTCAGGAGTCGGAACTTTGGGACTTCAGGAGAAAGCCGAGTCGCATTGGAATTGTAATAGGAACCTAATCGAATAGCTAACAAAAACAAACAAATAAATTAAATTACCCTCCAAGTTCGGAATTAAAATTCATGGTTTTTCTTACACTTTGTTTTACAATTATTTTTATGAATAAATACTTTTTTTAACACGTTGAATACCTCGATGTAATCGACGTGCATAGCCCGTTTAGCCGCACCTAAACTAGACCGTGCACAACATCGGTCGACTACGTGTCGACATCGCGACGCGTCGGCCAGTAGCGCTAGACCGTAATTTTTACAACCTATATTCATTATTATTTATTATTTGATAAATGATAAATATAATAAATTTATAAATAAATCGTTTTGTTGAACTTATGTACGAGTATTGAATATTATGAAATAAAGTATACTTAAAATTCAACTGAGTTTTATAATTTTAATTATACTTATTTGTAAAATGAATCAAGTTTCGCTGTACAAAAACTATATTTATATAAAATTATATGTGATAAGTAGTAACTATTATAACCGTGTCTGTTTACAAGTCATTAAGACATAAACCAAGAAATAAGCTACAAAAATACATCATCGCGGCAGATCGCCTTCATCGACGGTTTCCAGAAAAAGAATAACCATTGCTAAAAATAAACGAAAACGAAATCCAAATACACCGTATAAATGAAGACGTTTCATTGAATAAAGACAGATAAAAAGGATATACTACATATAGAAAAGATTAAAATAAATTGAAAATAGCCATGTTTTTCATTATAATTCATTTATTATTAAACTTTTTTCTTCGATTATTCGATTATTCGATTATTTTAATATTGTTAAAAACAATCGATTAATCCAATAATCGATTAAAATATTCAATTAATCGCACAGCCCTACTCAGTGTACCAAATATGTTATCGATGAACAGGCAAAATCAACAAATAGAATTGTACTTAGGCTACCTCCATACCACTGCGAGCTGAATCCTATCAAATTAGCATGGGCCACGGTAAAACATCACGTTGGATGAATAATAAGACATTCAAATTACCAGAAGTAAAAACATTACTGTGTGATGGCGTGGAGCGAGTAACACCCCAAATGTGGAAGGATTTTATCAATCATGTTACGAAAGAAGAAGATAGATTCTTTCAAATTGATTTCATTAGTGAAGAGATTTTGGAATCGGAAACTTCACACGTACTTACCATTACCGGAGACACTTCCAATTCCGAATCTAATTTTTAATTATGTATTTTATTGTTAAACTATTTTTTTGTAGATAGTATGTGTTATTAAAATTTAAAAATTGTATGTATGGTATTTGTAAATATGTTTTAAATTATAAATAAATGTAGAAAATTTAAAATAACTGTTATTGTTATTTATACTTAAAATGGTATTATTATTATTATTATTATTATCCAGCGGAACGGTAGTGGCGCGAAGCTAAAAAAAAAAAAATAGCGGAGCGGTCACGACCGTAGTACATTACACGAGTCAGGGGGTCAATTCTTGAAATCATACGACTAAATCTCGCATGCGACATAAGTCATACATTTTATCGATTGTGACAAATTTTTATCGCATGCGACATACAATTGGTATTCTTGAATTGAAATCGATAAGATTTTATCACTTGTCGAATGCGATAAAGTTTATCGAAGGAACCACTACAATAACAACACAAATCTAGATTTTAACCTCAAATAAACTGGAAACTTATATAAATTATTATTTTATTCCTTTATGACTGAATGTTATCAACGATAAATGTATCATACAAGGTGGATATATATATCCACCTTGGTATCATATAAGTCAATAGTTCCTATTGACCTATTATTCTAAAATCACGATTCACGGTTCATACTTCATACTACCTATTAGATTAGTTCAAGCCATTACAACAAGCCATTCATTCAATTACAAACAAGTAACATCATACTAAGTTAAAAAATGTACTAAATTACCAATAACATAGGTTAAACATAGGTCAATTAATTCCTTAACAATGTCTTTTATAAGCCTTAAGTTTTTTACAAATAAACGATCTGAAAATGTAAAAGAATTTGTCATATTTTCTGGATTGTGAGTTTGCCTTTCATAATATATATTATGATTTTCGTGTTCTTCGACGTTATTAAGGGGATTGGAAGCGGTGATTTAATAAGGGGCCGTGTATAGGCAATTCAATGTTTTATTCACGTTACGCAGTTTGTTTGTGTGCAAAGTAAATTATCATTAGTGTGCGTTGACACGGTCGGAATCCGTCGTACAGCCTCGTCATGTCTGTGGTGGGGAGCGAAGCATGGTCGACAACGCAAGCCACGTAGATATTATTATTATTATTATTATTATTATTATTATTATTTTATTATTATTATTATTATTAGGTATTATATTTTATATTATTACTCATTCCAACCGCGCACCAAAACCATTTGTCAATCATTACTTTTGAGCCACAATATGACTTACGTGAAAAGCTTTGATATCTTGTTGAGTTATCTAATGTCAATATTTTTTTTTTTTTTCAGTCGAAAGTGGAATACTCTTTATATAGATTACACTTGCTAATAAAAATTATATACTTAATCGTTATAAGTAATAAAGAAATTTATTTGTAAATTACTACAAGTTCACGTAATATACACGTTTTATATACACTTCGAATCAAGTACAAAATTATGAAGTCCAAGCTCAAATTGAATATGATGGAGAAATAATTTCTAATATCATGTGGTTGAGGTAAAATTCTGATAAAGGTATTTCCATTTTACCTTTCCAAAATAAATCATCTCGTTCAATTAAATCAACCAACATTCCTAAAAAAAATTAATTCAATGATTACGATGTCTATAGTACTTTTATCAATGTAAACATGTAAATAATTTAAGGTATGATTATGTATGTTTACCTTTAGGTGTCCATACTACAAAATAACAAAATTTCCTTTGCGTAATGTGTAGTTGACCCTGTACTTGAAAATAATAATCATGGCTATTCTTCAAAACTAATTTGTTGTCTTTTTGTTCTAAATATTTAATTTTCTTCTCCTTGTATGCATTTTCCGGCGTTAAATCTCTTATTGAAAAAGGACATTTAATTTCTATTATTGAATTATCTCCAATAAGTCCGTCAGGTGATGCCGCTAAATAAGGTAGTGTAGGATCAACAAATAATCCAGCAGTAATCACTTTGAATTTGTATAATGATTCGAATTGCTCTTTCGCGACAGGTTCAAATTGTATACCGTAACTTTATATATTGTAATATACAAATATATATTTAATTATTACATTTTTTTCAAAACATAATAGTATAAATTATTTTAAATTTTACCTGGTAGCAGTTGTTCCATGAAAATATTGTGATGCATATAAAATTGAAACAATTGTATTTTTCCGGTTTGTACTTTTTCGAAGCTTACATACTTTGCCAAAATTAGATGCTGTCAGCCTGTATGAACGTTCCCTCTTCCACTCTTCACATTGTGATTGTTCAGTAGTTCGACGTTCTAATTTATTAATATCTTGTAAGCTAAGTTTTAACCGCGATAACATATCTAATTTTTGTTCCTCAAATTCTTCACGAGAAAGTATTAATGGCTTACATCCTAAACTTTCATTTACAGCACCATAATCTTCGTCGGGTCCATCTATCAATTTTTTTTTGGTTCGAGAACTACATAAAATATTTAATTATGTAAAAGTAAATTTTAAAAAATGTATTTAAAAAAATGTACTTGAATGCTTGAAGTGGTTTTCTTATTTCTTTTTGTTTTTGAGATTTAATGTTTTTTAATATAAACGCTTTTGTAAATTTTCCTGGACTATAATTGGTTGCCTTTTTATGCAATTTTCGTAAATATTCCGGCCCATAGTTATAAAAAGTCAGCGCAGTATGACAGCGAGTCGTATAAGAACCTTTAATTTTAAAATGAGATGCGTAATTATTTTATTATAAAGTATAATATGTTTAAAAATTAATTTAGTTAAATCACCTCTAAATGAAAAGTTTATCCTTTTTCCTCCTATATATTTCGCCACAATACTATTGTATGATTCGACTGCATTGTTATTGACGTGATAAACTAAACTTTCTGAATGATATGCCACTAAATTTATAGATGCTATAATATCGTTCCAAATACCACATTCTTGCATTTTTGGAACTAAATTTATATCAGTATCATTTTTTCTTGTACAAAAATACCTAAAATAACATTAAAACATTATTAGGTGTATCTCAAACGTTATTGTGAGAGTAGGTACAGTAAAAAAAATGTACTATTCTTACATATCACATTTTTCATGAGAACCAAATACATGATAAGGTCCGTTCGTAATATCAATTTTTAATAATTTTGTTTTCTCGTTATGAGCAATTTTCATATTTTTTCTAAATAATATAGCTTTAGTCACTGCGTATCTGCATAGAGGAATAAAATTAAAAAATATTGTTTAATCATAAAAATAATGATTATATATATATAACTACCTTAATCTTAACACATTTTCTTTTATTTTCGTTCGTATAAATCCTGGCACAACTTTACCCATTGAACTTTTTCTTTTTGATGACATATCTTTCAAGCGGTTGCAATAATTCCTTAAAATGTGGTTCGTACATTCTACTTTTTTTACAATCACATTATTACCATAAGGTTTTTCCAGCTGTATTTTTTTCATTACGCTACTGTCTCCATCTCCAATTAGGTGGCTATAAATTAAATTATTAGTTTTTAAACTTTGAACGAAACCTTGGACAATTATGTCTGCTTCCATTGCTGTCGATGTTCCGCTCCAATTTTTGTAACAAACATGATTTTCTGGTGTTTTTTGCATATTATCTGCTTTATGGCATATCGAACAGTATTTATTACGTACACCTAAGTATAGCACTTTCTTGGTTCTATAACCGACAATACACCCCTAAAAAATAATAAAATTAAAATAATGATTATAAACACAGAAGATATTACGTTTTAATAACAATAAATAACTTACAACGCCAGACATTGCATTATAATTTGGTCTATAGGACCTTTTAGACCAGGCACCATCAGCAACTACAGCTATCATCGGAACACCATCTTTATTTACATTACCATTTTCGACAGCTAATCTAGCTTCTTCTTTAGCTGCATCTTCACATGCTTCCAATGCAACTTTATGTGTAAGCTCTCCAATATCTTGGTGTAATTTTTGATACAATGGATTACTTAAACATGGCATATTCAATATAGCAGAAAACTGTTGTATTTGTGAATAACCTTGACCAGTATTCACTGCAGATGACACTATGGCTAAATTTATGGACAAAAGTGTACTATTTTGCGGTTCAGTGGGTATAATCTCTTTTTTATGACACATTTTGCAAATAAAGACGAATTCACTAAAAAAACCAATCTTTTTTTCACATAAAAATCTTAAATCGGAAAATGTACAGTTGAAACCCTCATGTTTGATTTTTGCAATAGTATCAAACACAAATTTTATGTCTACTATTCTTCGACCTTCAATTACGTAAATTCTAAATAACACATATTATATGTACCTATATATTTTTATACAAAATAATATATTAAAAATTGATTTACTCTTCTGTTTCATCATGCGTTTGTGTGTTTGATGTTGATGGACAAATAATTTCATCATTAGAAATTGAGCCTGCATTTTCCTTAAACATACAATATCATTGAATATATATTATCAATGTTTGAATACAAAAAACAATTGCTTCTATAATATATTATTATGATGAAAATTAAAACTTACCATAATGTAATTGGAATTCAAACGCCATTTTAATAGCGCATTAACATTGCCCTTGTGTTTTTTCAGTTTTGATAACGATAACTTTTTTTTTTTAGAATTACCCATAGTGTTTTATTTATTTTTCAAAATATTTTATAAAGAAAACAGAATCATTAATAAGTTCACTGTAACTATACAAAGCAAATGTGGTAATAATATTATCAAACGTCAGAAAATATAATAATCATTATTACATCATCCAGTATCTATTTTGTTTTAGGAATATTGTCGATAATATCTATAAATAATTGATGTTTGACAGTCACGTGCCGAATCGCCTAGTTTGTACACTTTCGCACGCGCACACACATGTCACTACAAAACTGCTACTGTTTAAAACAGAAGGCATAGCTAATTTCCAACGTACCGATTAATCTAGTGACACGATAAGAATTCTGAAAACAAATTTGAATTTGTCATCAAGTCTTCTTGAGATCGACTTTCCCACATTTTTAATTTTTTGATTAAAACTTTTCCAAAAATTGAAATATGTCAATTTTTTAATTACTCTTTTTTAATATATCGTTTTTAGGATTTTAGGAAGGTAATATTAAAAATATGGGAAAGTCGATCTCAAGTAGACTTGACGATAAATTCAAATCTGTTTTCAGAATTCTTATCACTTCATTATATCAATCGGTACGTTGGAAATAGAACACCTCTATAATCCTATGTTTCACGTGTGTTAGACAAAGACAGAAAATCGTCGCTTCCAATCCCCTTAATGGCAAACAAATGCCATATCTTCAAAATTAGCTATTCTAATAGTACATAGCAGCGGTTCCCAACCTTTTTAGTAGTGCGGACCACCAATTTCGTAGAAAATCTTTGAGACCCACCAATAGTTATATATGTGTAATGTGCACATACGTCAGTTATTATAATTTTTTTATTAAAAAACAATTGTTTATCAAAAAAAAAAACTTTATTGAACCAGATTATTCAAGAGTTAAACAATTTAATGTAATTTTAGATTGTCCCCCACGATAGAATCAATATCTTGATTAAAAATGAATAGTTTTAGCCTTAAATCACTCAAAATTCAATTTATTCCAACATTTATTTTTAAAAAAATTAAAGTAGAAAAAGCTCGTTCACACAGACACACTGGTTGTCAAAATATAGCCCATCAAATTTCTAAGTGAAATTTTAGAAATTGCTGGAAAGTCTTGCCGAATATTTAACTAGAATGGTAATAATGGTTAAGTTTTGAAAAACAATTTTAGTCTGATCACATGAAAATTCAATCAACGAATCTTCTTCACTTGCTGATATTTAAGTAAATATTAATATTTTAAAAATATATGTGAGTAATGTTAATATAATATGGTTCACGAACCATGGGTTGGGAACCGCTGGTAACATTTTCAAGCTTATAGCCACATTACTTTTGGAATTATGAATAAATAATTAAAATTTGAAATGTGAAAGTCTTATTTACAGCGTATTTTTACCATTTCTCTCATTTTCCTCACATCTAGAAAAACTATTAAGATTTAAAAAAATGGCCCGTCTAAAGTACTACCACATGCTAATTTAAAATCTAAAAAAGATCCTAAAAAATTTTTGAACAAGTATTTTTATCCGAAAAAGTGTTTAACAAATAAAATACAAACATAATTATAAAACCATAATATTTTTCGCTTCAGTTAGAATCTAAAAGTGATCATGTAACATTTGTGTTTTCAGTCAGGTAATTCATTATACGCACAATAAAAATATAAAATCAAAGTGAACAATTTAAATTTAGAAATATTCATATATTTACCAAATATTTTAGTAACTGTTGATTGTACGGTTTTCGGGTGTCTATAACCATTAAGAAACATGAAAAAGATAGAAGAGCTTCATCACCCCCAGTTTTTTCATCGAAATTGCACCCCTGATTATTATCTAATATTTTTAAATGCGTATAAATCACAAATAAGTATATATAATATATAATAGCGCACGCTATAAAAAACTATAAAAAAACTTTTAGAAATCGCTTAGGACAGAGAAGTACAATATAATTGTGAATCTATACAGTGGAATCGTTTTTTATAACATTGATTTTGACGCTCGGCTTCCGAGTAATATCGTTACGAAAAACAGCCAAGAACGACGTAAGGATTGAAAAGGGGAATGTGGAAAACGGTGCGTGTCGAAAATCGCTTTTTTCGCGCTGCTGCAGCAGGGCGCGTGTGATGCAATAACGAGCCTCAGTGAATAATAATAATAATAATTAAGTTTTGTATAAATTAAAAAAAATAATATTTTATAATATTATTATTACGGCGTGGTTAAAATCAAACGGATGCTTAAATTTAGATACGGTGGCACGATCCTATTAAACTTGAATAAATATTATATTCTGTAATAATATATATTTTAAATAAACTAAGATATATAATATAAAAGTATATAAGAATGTACAAGTTTATATAAGTATATAGGTATGAAGCGGCGCTTTTTCCAGCACTAGTTATTCGATGCAATCTCCACGCGACACGGCACGTACATATAAAAAGAACGGATCGACAATACCGAATACAAATCAAACGCGGCGGCGGCGGCGACGTTGACGGATTTGGGGTTGTCGTGTCTCCCAATGATAAACGACCGTTTAACCGGCGGCTGTCTAGACCACGGGGCCGCCCTTGCACAACAATAATGGCCGAAGCGACGAAGGGTGGCCTGTGAGCAAAGGCGGCGGAGGCGGCCTGTCAATCATTGTGCGCGCGACCAAGACGACCGCGAAACCGTACGAAAATGTACCCGCGAGCGTAGGTAAAAATCATTTACGCGGGAGCGGGATCAATATATTTAGGTAATTATTATTATTTTTATTACTTATTTATTCACTAGCCAGGGTTTTGGCAATTAAAGGTGGTAGAATTCCAAAACCTCCCTTCCTACGTCACTGTATGTGTGTATATGCCGATACGTCTGAATTGTCATGAAGTACTATCATAGAAATGTTTATGTGTGAAACGATCGTCTCCTTTCACTCGGCGCATTCATATCACACCTCATACAAGATTATCGATGACAATATCTAGCAGAATAGTTATGCGTACACCGCTGATAATAATCGATTTATATTTTCAAACGGTCCTTTATTTTTCCGAAGAAAGACGAATATTTACAAACTGAGTTCAAAGAAACTTTTCTCTTGCTTCGCACTGATATTAATAATCAAATTTGTTTTTATTTTATTAATGTTTTGTCTATATTAAATGGTAATTTATAATTAAAATGTATCGTTTTTTAACTCTCTATCTCCAACATAAGCAAAAGCTTACAAGAGATGGATAAATCAATTTCATTTTTTAATATATAATTTTGTCTATTTTTCTGATTTAAATAAAAAAAAAAAAAGTAAACAAAAATGAATGTAACAAGTAATGTATCCGTAGAAATATTTACAAAGCTTGACGGGTTGATTGAAGGGAGCGTCCAATAACGCTACTTCAGGATATTATTATTGTTTTTGCGTTATATACTAGTTTATATATTATTGTATATGCAATAATTAAAAATCGTTGTACAATTGAATATACGAGCAGATTGTTATAGGCCGGCATCACACTAGAACCGACTACGTGCGACTGCTGACTAGGTAAGACAATAGGACGACTGGTGGTATAGCTTGAATTCTCACATTGGTGCATACTTGTTGGAAACGTTGACTGTAGTTATTGTGAATATTTTTCCTATAGTAAATTTTTTTTATATTTTTATACCTACCACTTTTATAATTTTTCTCGTATAACAAACTTTTTGATAACACGAGTGAGTTCTTTGTTTTCACAAGCATTATTTTTCTTGAATTAAAATAATTAATTTTTCAGTATCTTCAATGTTATCCGTGATTTTTCTTTCAAAAATTCATTTTTAAAAAAAGCTTTCATTGTTTGAAAAATAATTACCAGCTTAGTTTAGTTAAGCCGTATAAACCGATCGAACGAAAACCCGGACTAGATGGTAATGAGTCGCAGGTAATCGCACGTAATCGCACAACCAAATCGGATTTTATCTGAGAGCGATGTAACATTCTCATAATCGGGATAATTTGCGCACAGTCGGTTCTAGTACGAACCAGTCTTGATGGCATTTTTTACGGCATTAGTGTATTTGTAATATTAATAAACACGAAATGGAACACGAAATATACGTTACACGATAATATATAACGATTATGCTTATCGATGTATTAAAATATGTAAACCAACATCATCTAAAACAGTGGAACTGCGAATTCTTAATTATTTTTTCGAATACAATCTACGACCATTTCCGATTTTGAGATCGTTTTACAAAAACAACGATTTCAGATTTAAATATTTCCGCTCCGGTGTGTCCTTTCTAACCGCAGTAGGTACTATATTCACGTATTTCACACCGAATAACTACTGCCCCCGCCTGTCACCAGAATTCTTATCGTGACCTCGTAATTTTTGGCCCAAAAGTGTATTTTTTCCTATTTCCGACGACGAGCGCGCACCACCAATGCCAGCGGGAATCAAGTTGGCAGATATTATCCACATCGGAGAGGGGTAGATATATAATACATCTACGGGGTGAAAATGCGGTGCTTATACATGCGCGCGCTCGCTGCTACGATCCCAGGGTTCACGGCGGGTACGTCCCTCGGCGAAAAGTTTCTGAGGGGCGAACGCTGTTCCGGCCACGTCGCTGCAGCAGTCGCGCCGGCGTTACCATGGCGACCGCGGCCAGGGATTTTTATTGTTGTTATTGTTGTCGCCGTGTCGAACGCGGCCCACAGTAGTCCGAAATGCAATTTTAGACGGACAAAATTATTTTATTTACAATATGTTTTACTTATGTAATTTAATGTATATTTAAATAATTATTAAGCAAGATATGTGTTGAAAATGTATTAAAATGAAAGGAATTTAATTTTTAATTATTATAATTATAATAAATAATGTATTTTTCTGACTATAATAATACATTATTTTATTCGGAATCACTGTCATCGTCACTATTATTGTCGGAGTCATTATTTTCGTCAGAATCGATTATCATTAGAGCTCTCATATCTTCATCCAGCGGTTTCATATTGATTTTCGAATTTTTTTTAGCTAGAAATGTAGGGATCCAAAGACACAAGCAGCATATGGGCTAAATCCTAATTTTATGAGACTTTGTTTTGTGTGTATTATTTTTTCTTATATTTCTGAAATTTTTATTCCGGGCCTCTTGTGCCTTTTCCGACAACTGGCCTATAAAATAAACATTTTTGTTGCTACTTTGTTTTGTTATATTATGTAATCATCCTTAAAATTTCAAATACTATGAAAACTGACCAATAGGTAATAAAGCAGAACGTATTACGTCTGTACCATGGATTAAAATTTTATGAACCGAAGCAGGCGTGTAATACCATTGGTACAATGATACAAAAAGTTCCGCAGTCTGCAAAGTATAGGCTAACCTAACGGCCGCGGCTGTGTCAACGCTGTACCCCGGTCACCGCCGCCTTCGTGAGTCACTGCTTTACGTGCAAAACGCAAACGATTTCGGCAGATATGTATTCATTCCAACACAGCTGTTCACTTTATGGTATACATAACGCGTACACACGCCTCTCGCCCGTCACATGCAGCGCACGTTCCATCCCATGTAAAATCCCCTGTAAAAACGTTCCCTTATTCTTCGCTTAATCACGTGCCGTATTAGCAACACTACGAACATCTATACAATTCGTCACCTAAGTAATCCATGTACATATATATACGAATCGATGATTGCAGAAACGCCACGAGTCATATATGTATTTTATTAAATATATTACCAAAAACGTACCTATACTAATCGACGTTCGAGTGTTTTCTATGCGTTATATGTAAAAACGTCATTAGTTATACTTTATTCTTTATCAGATAAATAAACAATAATAATTGGTGTTTTTACACTAAACGCATAGAAAACACATGACCGTTATACGTTTTTAACAATATCTCAATTTCATAAAATATGTGACTCGTGACGTTTCTGCAACCATCGATTCGTATATGTATTTACGTATACAGTTAAAATAGTTACCGCTCACTCGTCATTGAACGCTACGTCTCAAAAATAACAAAACGCGTGAACTCGAAATTCGATATGGTATACCGAGTCCCTCCAATGGCGGTTATACACTGCGCGTAGTGTGTAACCAGCTCAACGCTCCAGATCAGGATGGTCAGATTCGCGGCCCTTGGTCTTCTTTTCCGCCCCTATTAAGAAGACATAACACGTTTTAATTTTTATGATTAAGTCGGTGATTGCCGTCTTGTACACAGATTATTAAAAAAAAAAAAAACCTTGTTATTCAAAATAGAACTATAGCTTGGCGTTACGAGAAGAATGTGGTAATACAGTTCATTACGTATAACAGCGTCGTAACGCGTCGGCATACTACAACGTTCCTAGTGGAAAGGAACCATGCGCAATAAAAACTAGTTTTCGTCCAAATGACTGGGCACTTTTATTCTGAATAAACTATAGAATAATTGTTCCGGGAAGTTTATCGATAGAAATAATCTCAGCGTACACAAATACTCATATTATATATATAATAGAAATATAAAATCCAAATACCACTGACTCACTGATCGCTGAATCTCAAAAACTATTCAACGTACACACCTGACATTTGGAAGTCTTTCACCGAGTAATAAGAAAGGATTTTTCAAAAATCGCATATTTAAGGGTCGAAACACTTTTGGACTGGATGCATATGTTACGGTAAAAGATGAATATTGGTGAATGTCGTTATTCTCCGGTGAATGACGTCTTTTACTAAAATGATTCAATTATGTAGGTAAATGATGTAAAAAACCAGATTTTAAATTCAAATTCACCGGTCATTTATGTCATTTACCAAAACTAGTGGTAAATGATGATAAATCTCAAATAATACACTGGTTTTTTTACTATAGGTATGTACTATTTATAATAATGATTTATTGTTAAAATAAAAAAATAATAAATTACGTGCATATTACAAATTATTTATTTGTACAATTTTGGTTACTATGACATTTTGAACTGCACAACATTTCCACTGCATTGCAAGCACATTTTTTAGTACCACAACCAGTTTTTCAGTTGCATCGATTAAATCCTTGATGACCAGCTATTCCATGTCCTGCTGCTTCTCTTAATGTTATTTCCCTGTCTTTAATTTTTTTGATGACTTCATCTAGCTCTAGAAATTTTTATTTACATGGAGAAATTTGTGCTCGTTTATATTTATGTTTCAACACCCCATATTCTGTACCTGGTTCAAACATTCGGGTATTTATTTTATTTAAATTAAATAAACATTATCAAGTTAAAATTGGCTTACATAATTTATACATGTCATCTTCGTATGAAATAATAACAGCAAGTAAATTACTCGGAGAACCTCGTGCTCAATCAGCATCTGGTATTGGGACACGAACAGTTGTACCGACATGTCGCGACATCAAGCTTTGAACATATTTTTAGGCTTTAAATTTATTCTGCATACTTAAATACTAAAACTGAATCTAACTTTTATTATATTTTGTTCACTGGTGACACAAATTTTTACAAATAATATTATAAAACACACATTCGTAGCAAATATAACTTGCTATAATATACCCGTCGATACTAACTAATAAACTAAAAGATTATCTCATATTATTACTCGGGTTATCGACGTTATTTCTAGTTGGGATTTTCGTTTATCTATCTACTTCCATCATGATATTTTTAACTAATGAAGCTGATCGTTCACACCGACATAAAAGTATTAAACATCATTCTCCAATTAAACTGGTGATTGACGACAGTAACCGGAGAATGTCTGCATTTACAACGTTTACCAATTTTTAGGTAAATGATGTCATTTACCGGGGAATGACGTCTTTTACCACGTTTACATCATTCACCGTAACACATACATTTTTCAATTTTTGGTTACCTAGGAAATATTTGATTTTTTTAATATGTTGATTTTAATAATCACCGATTAAGAGTTATGTAAATTATTAAACTATATAACAACTTAATCAAAGCCATAATTTTAAACGGAAAATTATAGGTGAACAATGTTCACTGAACATGTACTATTACCACGCATCTCAATGACTCCAACAGATAAGCCATTGGAATTCAAACTTTTGGAGTTTTCAGTGCGACTCGCTTTTGCAATGATTTTTAAAAAATTACAAGGACAATTAAAACAAGTGTGTGGACTGAATTTTGAAAATTTATGCTTCTCACATAACTGTGTGTGGCCTGCTCACGCGTCAGAAAACCTGATTTATTTGTGTACGCACCACAAAAGGAAAAACAAAAAATACTGTGTAATCCAAGTACACTTCAATGAATAGCATTTATTTAAAACATTGAATTGTCAGACTATTCTCAATAAAATGAATAAATAAAATAATTATAATCCAAAATAAATTGAACATTGTTGTAAGGATATTAGTATATGCTTAAATATAGTAAACGGTAGAGCAAGGCGAGATAGACATGGCTATATTTTATATTTACTTATTTAATATATAACAAATTAATATTTCAACCATTACTTCGGGTGATTTATATTTAAAAAGACATAGGTTCAATGGTAACACCCAAAAAGAGTTGAACACTCAACATTTTCTCAACGGACAACGTCAGGTATTACTCATTCATTGATCATCGCTACATTTCAAAACTATATGAACTCGAAATTTGATATTATGGTCTCTCCAATATTCAATACATGCAATAAGAAGGGATTTTAAAAAATATTGGAACCAGAAAATACGGTAATTTGGCGTATCACCAAAATTACTATACTGATTCATTTGAACTCTTGTTTTATTAGTTTTATAACCACCAATAATTACACCAAACTTGGCTTTAAATAATGTAAAGTAATAATCCATTAAAACCTGTGTCACGACCAAGAATGTTCCGTGCGAAGCCGGGTAATTAAGCTAGTAGTAACTATAATAAATAGGCTTAGGGACTTATAGCTCTAAAAAATACACAAATATGCTTCTAAAATCATTAAAATATGCATTATAATACGCATTTGTATGTATTAAAAAAAAATTACCACATAGTACACAAAATAAAACGTGTCCATCGGATGTAAATGTATCTTAAAACTCTGAAACAAAAATTTTTGTAGTCGGCTACTCGTAGACTGTTGTACTTTCGGCATTACACAATATTACTAAATACGTACGACGTTTTATGTATGATTCGACATTGCGTAGTTGTGAGACGCAAAAATATCGACGGATAATAATCGACTGAACTGAATACTAATTAAATAATCTATGATTCTATATCAACTGTTATCTTTATCGACATCCGGTCGATATCCAGATACGATCGAAACGGGTTAATAGTAGAGATGGGAATTCCAACTCATTCTGCTGAACTGAATCTTTCAACTCAGTTCAGTGTAATGAGTTGAATCAAAGAGTCGACTCCCAACTCTTCAACTCTTTGTTTGAATCAGATTACCCCTACTCTAGTCAACTCTTCAAATCTCGACTCTTGATTCAACTCACAAGTTCACAGTCCATATTCGTAACTAGCTTATCGCATATGAAACTAATTATGACTATAAGCGTACAACGTAACGAATATTTCTTAGAAAGTCGGAAATCATGTTTTAATACCTCATTTACATTCAGCCCATTTTCGTGGCAGTGAGCAGGGAAGTGGGCATGGAAGTGTGCAGCACGAGTATGTGAACACGTAACTCGCGCTGATCATGCTCCTCGCATTGTCACTGCCCGTCGCTCCCGTTAGGAGCGGTAAATTAAGCAATGCGAGCAGCAGGTTAACCGACAGCGTGATATTAGCACACATTAACAGGGCAATGCAGACGCTCACTACCTACGACGCTGCCACTGAAGTATTTTGACAATGAAATACAACAGCGCGAGGAACAGCGGCAATGGCTGAATGTATATGGGGTATAAGAAACAATGGAAATATTAATAACCAAATCCGAGGGGAACTATTGTTAGAAAATGCTGGATTAATGAAGTTTCACATATAAACGTATTTTAGTATAGAAAAATATTTTTATTAAAACTTAATAAAAAATGTTATTTAAACTTAAAAAATATTTTATTTATTTTTTTAAAACTTATAATATAAACATATATACAAATTTATGGCATACTGCGAATAAACTTTTTGATGGTACAGGTATATAAATATCAATTTGTTTTTGTTTTTTGTTTCAAATGTTGTTTGGAAGACAGTATTTTAAGATAAAATATTTTCTGATCACTGGACGTACCGGATTATCGAACGGCCAGATTACCGAGGTTCTACTGTATTTAACCTTGCGATGATAAACTTTAAATTTTCAAACGTATCAATCCAAAAAAATAAAAAGAGATTTCATCGATTAATAGCTAGATACCACAATTTCTGCTTGAAATCGCTTTACTACCGAGTACATTTCACATTGAATAATACATACATTAATGGTTCAAAACCCCCAAGTTTCAAAGGAATATCTACTATATAATTCAGAAACTAGTATTTATAAATTTCCAAGATTATTAACTATAAATACGGATTAAGCAGGTTTGTATTTTCGTCAGTTTTAAATTCAAGTCTGACGAAAATACAAACCTGCAGAACATTATCAATCAATAACAAGTAAAATAAATATAATGTCTTCATAGTTATAGATAAATAGTTACTGTGTCTTTATGTATTGTAAGTATATAACACTAGAGGTAGACGAAATTCTAACCAAGAACTAGTTTTAAATTCAAGTCTAGTTCTTGGTTGGAATTTCGTCTACCTCTAGTGTTATATACTTACAATACATAAAGACACAGTAACTATTTATCTATAACTATGAAGACATTACATTTATTTTACTTGTTATTGATTGATAATGTTCTGTATATATACCTATATATATATATATATATATATATATATATATAAACAACTTTATTGATATAAATATAAATATATAAAAATAGCGGACTGCTCAATTTATGAGTTGCCTTACGACATAGTTTACTGTTCAATACAATTGTACATAGTTTATAGGGTTTCAGTTACTACTGAACCATGGAAATAACTGATTGTTTTATAACTTACAATGATAGCAAGAAATATTAAGGGGGCTCCAGTCGTTGATAAAAAGTCGCTTTTAGACCAAAAAGCTAGACAAAACTGTAGAAATATGGTTTGATAGATTTTAATTTTTTAAACGGAATTTGATTAGTTAACAAGTTTTCTATGCTTTGAAAGTGGTGATTTTGAAAATTTTGAAAATTGTTTAAATTATGATTAAAAATATAAATAAAAAAAAATCAAATTTTTGTTTTATTATAGCTTAGCCGGTAAAACCGATATTAAAAATCGCCTCCTCAGAAGCCTAAAGAACTTCTCAATAAAACACCGTTTACTATATTAAAATCCGTCCAACCAAATTCCTACAGTTTAGTCTAGCTTTTCGGTCTAAATACCTCTTTTTTTTTCAAATGAAAAAAGTATGGCATTTAACATTATTGACTTGCTCCTGCGCGTATATAAATTGACGTCGATTATAAATAAACAGACTAATTGACCGACCGGTTACAGCTACAAGTATAGTTCCACGAACTGCGCTAAATTTCAAGATTACAAATAATAACCACCACGACCCATATATTGTATCACCTTATTATTTCTCCCGTATTGTTGTTTATATATTATTCATTCTGCATCCATAAACATTCAACATTTCAACATTCAGTGTTTATATTGTCGTCTGTACCAGATTGA